CAAAAACGCCCTCGCTGAGACGTCGGAGAGATCAGAAGGCAAACAATCTAAGCCAGGGTGCTTTTTTATATTTATCCCTCCCTCCTCCTCCTCTCTGTCGACTTCTTCTTCTTCTTCGCCTCTCTTTCTCCTCCTTTCTCTTGTCCTTCCTTTTCATTTCTACTTTTCTTCCTCTGTTTTGACATGCTTCTTTTCCCTTATCTCCTCTTTCGCCCTTCCCGTTACGTAAACAATGAAACCCAAAGTGCTTTTTATTCCCCCTCCTCTCTGTCGACATCTCCGCCTCTCTTTCTCCTCCTTTTCATCTTCCTTTTCATTTCCTCTTTCTTCCTCTCCCTTATCGCCCTTCCTTCCTTCTGTCTCCTTTTCCGCCCTTCGTATTCCTTAAACAATTCCTTAAACCCAGAGTGTCGGCGACCGTTTTGTGGTGTAACCGCTCACAACATTGCACTTGGGGGCGGGGCTCCATACTGGGTATTTTTGTAGTGTTAGTTTAAGCTCTGGTGTTCTGTGTTACGGTGTGGATCGTATATATGTATAATTTGTATATGAAAGTAGGTGAAAGCGAAGGATTAAGGGGGAAGGAAGAACGGGGATGAGAGGGGAAAAGACAGATAATTAGGAAGGTTGAGGAGAAAGAAGGAAAGACAGAGAGGTAAAAAGGAGTGAAAGAAAAGAAGAAAATAGAGAGCGAGTGATATGGATAAAAGGGAAAAGGAAGGAAATATAGAGAAGAAAGATAGAGTGACACCGAAAACAAGATTAATAAAGAGGTATGGCGCAACGGATGAAATAACACGGAATTCAATTAATACCGACCCTAACGAAATTAAACCCACATCAACCTGAAAAAAAGAACATTAAAAAGATTATATAAAATCCTCTCTAGCGAACCACATGACAGTTAACATGCCCTTCCTTGCTTTTCTAATCCTCGCCTTCATAATGAGTACATTTAGAATGCCTGGAATTTGAGCCTCAGAGAAAAAAAAACGATAATAAAAAATATATTAAAAAATGGCGTCTATTCCTATGGCCACCCACTTACTCACTTACTCAGCTTTGTTTATTCATCCCTCTGTGACAGTGACTCATTCTGTTTCTTTCTTATATAACCCACCTGTCGTCTAACTCACATTTTTATGAGATTTTGGGGTTTGTTCAGGGTCGCCAAAGTGTCTCGTTGCAGTTACTGGATTTTTAGATTTTTTTGAGGTAGACAACTCTTGGTAAATGGTGTTTCTAATATTATTAATATTTTTTTTATTCATTTGTGTGATTATTATTATTTTATTCTAGTTTGTGCATTGTGGATTTTTCTACCATATTATTGCCATTATTACTATCATTATTATTATTATTATTATTATTATTATTATTATAGCGTTATAAAGAAAACGGCAAATAGATTAATAAATAAAAGCACAGTACATACACATTACTCCCCCACCCACCTACATACACACACACACACACACACACACACACACACACACACACACACACACACACACACACACACACACACACACACACACACACACACACGATAAACTCGTATAATAAAATCAAAACCTTTTCACCAACTTATGGCTCCAGCCAGAATGCCCCAAATGAACCCCAAGAATGCCCAAAAGGAGCCCCAAGAATGCCAAAAACGACCCCCCAAAATGCCTCAAAGGAACCCCAAGAATGCCCCAAAACAAACCCCAAGAACCCCCAAAATACCCAAAAGGAACGCCAAAAATACCCAAATTAACCCCAAGAATGCCCCAAGTTAACCCAAAATAAACCCCCAAAATACCCAAAATGAACCCCAAGAATGCCCCAAATTAACCCAAAATGAACCCCGCCATCCACGGTTCTGACACCCGACACTTAACCCCCCTCACATCTGGCCCTCTATTCGTCAAGGTTTTCTGTGCATAGTTGCGTATCAGTGTCATCGTAGCGTTTCGTTATGGAGACGGTTTTGTAAGACGCCTGCTGAAGCCCATGTGATTTCCATCGTCCATTCTGCGGTGATTCAAAGGCTAAGGGGGGGGGGGGGGGATGGGGGGACTTTGTTGTTATTATTCTGATTGTTATTGTTTGTTCTGGTTAATTTTGTTATAGTTTGTTTATATACGATGCGGGAGAGTGATTAAAGACGAGAGGGTTTGTTTTCTCGTGTGATCCGAATGCGTCGGGTTTCGTGTGATGTGTTTTGTAGTTGTATTTCTTAACGCTGTTGTTGTTGTTGTCTTCGTTGTTGTTGCTGTTGTTGTTGTCGTTTTTTTGTATTCTTCATCCAGGGTGTTCATTAGCGTTTCAGTTAAGGCATGTAACTCCCTCGTTGCCTTGCATGTTAAACACACTCCGAGTGTGATGATTATTCAACTCACGATCAATATTTTGTGATTATGATAATTAGCGCACTTATCATCTTGCAACATATGTATACATCGTTATCAGTTAAATCTCAAAATTTGGCATCGTTAATGTAACGGCTTATTAATCATCTCTTGAGGCTTAAAAGAGGTTTAAATACATTCTGTGACCTTCAGCAGACTGGATGCATTTGATACGACGAGATATCTCCGTGATCTTCCAGACTAAGCTCAGTCCAACTCAGTTTGTTTTTTTCTTTCTTTCTTTTTTTTTTCTTTGTCGCTTTCTCTCTCTGGTTGTCTGTTTCTTTTTTCTCCCTCTCTTTTTCTTTATCGGATTCTTTCTACTTCTCTCTTTCTCTTTCTCGTTTTCTTTCTACTTCTGTCTCTCTTTCTCTTTCTCGTTTTCTTTCTACTTCTCTCTCTCTTCTTCCCTCCCTCCCTCTCCCCTTCCCTCCCTCCCTCCCTCCCTCCCGCCCCTTCCCCTCTCCCTCCCTCTCCCCTAACCCACCACCCACCCCCACCAAAAAAAAAAAAAAAAAAAAAAAAACATCGTGTTTTGACGTAGGCTTTCCCGCTGACGTCCTCAGTATGCATATTCAAAAGAGTGATTTCGAAGTCACTCTCTGCAAGTAATGATTTCCTTTCGGTGGGCATGGGAGGGGAAGGGGGAAGGGGGGGTGGGGGAGGAGGGTGATATTAAGCAGAGTCCTCGTGACCAATTAGAAATGGGGGTTGGGGTGGGGTGGGGGTGGGAGGAGACTCCTGGGTGGGTTGGGGTGGCGGGTGGGACTCTCCTGGGTGGGGTGGGGGTGGGACTCCTGGGTTGGGGTGGGGTGGAGGGGGGAAAGGGGGTGTACGTGATATTTTTTTGCCCGTTTTTTACTCGTCCGCAGACTGGCGATGACGATGAAAAGTCTTTTAAAAAGATTGGTCGAACGGGAAAAATTGGCGGCGTTCGTGGAGGTCAGGCGGATTCTTGGAAATTCTGATGCCTTTAGCGCCTTTGAATTCTCGTCTGTCAACGCATCTCTCGCGATCCAGTGTGGATATTTTGAATCTAGTTATTTTATATGTACGCACGTATATGTATGTATATATATGCTGTATATATCAATTTCTTTTCTTTTTTTTTCTTTATTCCTCCTCTTCCTCCTCCATCTCCACCTCTTCTTCTCTACCCCTTTCTTCACAAATAGCATCTCGTAGATTTCCAAAAAAATAATATAAAATAACATAGAAAAACGGGAAAACGTCAACATAGAAAACAGGAAACGACTACACAGAAAACGGAGAAACGACAACACAGAAAATGGGAAAACGGTCTTGAACGTTTCTATCACTAACGAAAACGTCACAAGGAATTAGCTATCGAGGAGAGAGGAGAAACGGAGGAGAAGAGAGAGAAAGAGGGAAAGGGAATTACGGAGAAGGAAGAAGAGGGAGAAGACTAAAATTAGATTACAGAGGAGATCATTAGCGAGAGAGAAGGGTTAGGGAGGAGGAATTAGGAAGCAGGAAGAGCGGGATGAAGGGAGAAGGCAGATAACTTTGGAAGGACGAGGAGAAAAAAAGGAAGAGAGAACCAGAGAGAAAATTGGGAGGAAGGAGAAAGGAAGAAAAAGAGCGTAAAAGTGTTATAGACGAGAAAGCAATGTAACACGGAAATATAAAAGGTGGAAATGGAGTGAAGGAAATGGCGAAGAGAGAATTAGAGGAAGAGGAGGAGGAGGAGGAAGTAGACAAACAGATAATAACAGGAGAAAGAGAGATGGAGGAGAAATAAGGATAAGGAAAAAGAAAAACAAAAAGGGTTTAAAGGAAAGGAACAGAGAGAGAATGAGAGATAGCGAGTGACAGAAAAGAAAATGAACGAGAGAGAGAGAGAGAGAGAAAGAAAGAAAGAGAATGAAAAAGGGGGAATGAAGGACAGAAAGAGAAAAAGAGGAAGGAGCCGAACATGTCGTAAAACAGCCATTGTTACATAGACAAACAAGCTCGTTACAGGCGGGTCTTGTGAGTGTGGACAGCTGTGTTTTTTTTTTTTCTTTTTTTTTTCTTTTTTTTCTTGAGAGGGGGAGGGGGGGGGCGATATCCGTTATCTTGATTGTTGATGCATTTATTAATCTATGAGTACGATTCTGAAGGCTATAATTCTATAAAGTTACTATGGTTATTGTTTTCAGTGTTTCAGGGTTTGTGTTCTTTCAGTCTCATTCTTTCTCTCTCTCTCTCTCTCTCTCTCTCTCTCTCTCTCTCTCTCTCTCTCTCTCTCTCTCTCTCTCTCTCTCTCTCTCTTTCTTTCTCCTCTCTCTCTTCTCTCTCCTCTCTCCTTCTCTCTCTCTATCTCTCTCTCTCTCTCAAAATGTATTATTCTTGGTATCTTTTTATCATTTATTTACTGTCAAATGACAAAAAAAGGTATGACTATAAACTTAAAACGACCATTCCTTCCTCCAACTCGTATGCAAAAGTGAAGTGTATGAAAACGTTTATCTATAATAAGGCCTAAGTACTCGAGGATATTAATCTGTGTCCTTCTACCTCTCTCTCTTGTTTTCTTTCTCTCTCTCTCTCTCTCTCTCGTTCTCACATTCTCTATGATGATGTTAATTCCTTCGTGTCTTGTAGGTGAGTGACTGCGCCGTCTGTGGCCTCGTGGGGAGGAGCAACGAGAGAAGCCCCGCCCACCTCCACGCCGGGCCCGACCTCCCTCTCCTATTGGCCGGCTCGTGGGCGTCCCACCGCTGCGAGACACGCCCCTATGGGATGTTCCTCACCCGTCACATCGTCTTCAGGTAAGATTCCCTTGGGTTTATATGTTGTCTCAGGTGATGCACTGTGGTGGCTCCTTAACCCGAGCGAAATGAGGCAGACAAATGGGGCTTTTATTGTTTTTTTGTTTTGTTTGTTTTTTTTGTTTTGTTTTGTTTTTTTGTAACGTGGGTCAACGGCGTGGGAATTGCGATACATGTCTGGGTTCCTTTGTCTTCTGAGAAGTTGATTTGCATTTTATCTGCCAGTTAGTTCAATTTTCGGTTGTCTGTTTTTTTCTTTCTTTTTTTTCTTTGTTTTTTACGTATCTTTAATGTGGTTAGGGTATATATACATCAGCTCTTATTAGTGTTTTTTTTGGGTGGGGGGGGGAGATGCGAATTTATGCAGGATGTTAGATCGTTCTGCATAGTCATTTTGTATTTATTTGTGTTTCTTATGTTACTCGTTTGCCTTGTGTGAAGTGTTAACTTATTCAAGAATTAAATTGATCACATTCTATTATCTGCAAATGGCAAATACGATACATTCTCTCTCTCTCTCTCTTTCTCTCTCTGTTTATCTTATATTTTCCTTCTATTTCTCTTATGCTCGCTGTTTATCTCTTGCTCTCTCTCTCTCTATTTCTCTCTTGTTTTCTCTCTCTTTTTCTCTTGTTCAGTCTCTCTTTCTCCCTTGTTCTCTCTTTCTCCCTTGTTCTCTCTTTCTCTCTTGTTATCTCTTTCTCTCTTGTTCTCTCTTGTCTCTCTTGTTCTATTTTGTCCCTCTTGTTCTCTCTTCTCTGTCTCTGTCTCTCTCTCTCTCTCTCTCTCTCTCTCTCTCTCTCTCTCTCTCTCTCTCTCTCTCTCTCTCTCTCTCTCTCTCTCTCCGTCTCCCTCTCTCTCTCCCTCTATGTCTCCCTCTCTCTCTCTCTCTCTCTCTCTCTCTCTCTCTCTCTCTCTCTCTCTCTCTCTCTCTCTCTCTCTCTCAGTCTCAGTTTCTGCCTCTACCTCTGTCTCTGTCTGTCTCTCTTTCTTTCCCTCTTTCTCTTTTCCCCCACTTTGTTCTCTCTACCCCTCCATCTCTCTACATGTCTTCCTCTCTCTGTTCTTACCCCCATCTCTCTCTCTACTCTTCTGTTCCCCCTTTTCCCTTCCTCCCTTATCCTCCGTTTCTGTATGTTCTATCTTTCCCCTTTACTCGAACCAAACGTCTTTTTAATCACGTTTCTCCTCCCCCCCCCTCTTCCCAACAGCCCCACCGACAACGACTGGAAGATGACCTTCCGCTACTACCACGACCCCGAGTGCAGCCGCCCCTCCTTCACCCTCGCCGCCCACGGATCCTACGCCCGCGCCGCCCCTTCGCCCTACGCCTACGACTTCCACGTGAGCCGCATGGTCCTGACGCCCGACGACGCCGACCTGGCCAACGCCCTCAACTCCTACAAGGGGAAGGAGTGCGGGCGGCCTGGATCGTGGGAAACGGGGAAGCCTCAGGACATCACGCCCACGGGAGGCTGTCAGGCCGTGGGCGTGCGAGTTCCTGTGGTCGAGAAGGAGATTTTGCGCTCGGGCGTGGACGAGAACGGCGGCATGTGGCTGGCACTCGGACAGACGGCCACGACGCCCCTGCAAGTCGGGGGCCTCGCTCGCCCGACCAGCTGGGGACCTCAACTGATCAGGTGCCGGCACTACTCGCCGCAGGACATAGATAATAACCTCCAGCCTATGGTGGGAGCTCGCACGGCCTACTCTGCCGCCCACAACCACGCCCAGTCACTTTTCAGTATTGTCTTTTTGTGTCTAATGGTCGCGATCCAGGCACCTTGAAGGGAAAGAGCGGGAAATGAAGGTTAAGTTGAGTTACCCCTCTAAATGTAATCGCGTCATAGAAAACGATAAGATTTCAAGGGAAACTAAAATAAACTTAGAAGCAATCAAATTTTCCTGTAACTCGCTCTTGCACAGTATTAGCAAGTTACAGATTTAGAATTAAGTATTCTAGTTGTATGGTTTAGCATGTTCCCCCTTTTTTCAGACGCAAAACTATAATTTGGGTGAAGGTCTTGATAACATTAACTTATAATTCATAGCCATTACCTCAGACACAGCAATATAAATCCACGTTTCACTTTTACTTGGTATTTTGGCGGTATAAAATATAAAAAAATCTAAACTTACAAGCAGTTAATTTCTGCTCTATCCCTATATTATTTTTTTCTAACATTCCACTGACCTGTTCGAGACAACTGTAGGTTTGGCATTTACTTTCTCTGGGGGATCAGTTGCTGTGTTCATACTAATACTCTTTTATCAATCAAAACAGACGATTTATATAAGGAAACTTGTATGTTAATAAGCTTAACTGTTAAGTCATTTTTATTTTCATGAGTTAACAATCTTTACCACTAAATGAAAAAAGAGGGAAAGATTTTTAGTGGTCTTTTGGAGAAAAAAAAAATGAAGCATCGAAACCGTGAAATGAAATATGGTTCACATAGGAGCCCTCGAATCGCGATTGTTTTCGGAATGTTTATGTTGAATGAATCTCAGATTTTAGAATGTCAGAGAAAGTATAGATACGTAATTATACTTTTATGATGGACTCTATATATAATTAGTTAGGTTTAAATTGGCGTTCGTTGCAGAGAGCATTGCGTTACCTCGCATTGCAATGACAAATATGTAATTCCTTGTAGATAGATAAAGGGCTTTTTTTAATTAAATCAAAAGATCACACACACAAAACCAAATCTCGCAGTTCAACCCCGTAATTCACAAGAAACAAGACAGTTAACCAGACCATGCAGGTCACCCAGTGCAAACTCACGTACTGCACATGGTCACACTAAGTAGGCCTACCCCCATGGTATTCGTACAGCCCTCTGAATACCCCCCATGGTCTTCAGAATACCCCCAAATACCCCCGGATATTCCTCACACACACGCACACTCAGTAAATCACAACCTGAGCCGCCGTTTCACATTTCACACAACTCCAAGGTAAAAAATTCTTACTTAAAGAGTTACTTTTTTATTACAGTTATATGTTTAGCTAAACTTTTTTTTTCTTCTTCTTTTTCTTGAACAATAGCTAGTATATATTACCACCCCACTATTTCCACGACAGGTTCATCGTAAAGAAGCCACAGTTGCTAGTACAAAAGCTACATAACCAAATAACAGTACAGAAAGACCACCCCCACCC